CTGGTTCAACATTTGTAAGACCATAAATGTAATTAAATACATCAACAGATGTAAAAACAAGAACCATATGATTATCTCATTAGATGGATAAACAGCTTTGATAAAATCCAGCATCCCTTCTTGATAAAAACCCTCAAACACCTAGGTTTAGAAGGAACATACCTCAGAATAGTAAGTGCCATCTACAACAAACCCACAGCTAACATATTGCTAAATAGACAGAAATTAGAAACATTTCCCCTGAAAACTGGAACAAGACAAGGCTGCCCACTCTTACCCCTCCTGTTCAATATGGTGTTGGAAGTCCTAGCTCAGGCAATTAGACGAGAGAAGGAAATCAGGGGTATCCAAATAGGAAAAGAGGAAGTCAAGTTATCCCTCTTTGCTGATGTTATGATCCTATACCTTAAAAATCCAAGAGAATCTGTCAAAAACCTGCTTGCACTGATAAAGTACTTTGGCAAAGTCTCAGGGTACAAAATAAATGTGCAAACTACAGTTGCATTTCTCTACACCAACAACAAGCAGGCAGAGACCCAAATAAAAAACACAATCTCATTCACAATAGCCACCAAAAAAATAAAATACCTCGGCATCTTCCTAACCAGAGAAGTGAAAGACCTTTACAATGAGAATTATAAAACACTGCTCAAAGAAATCTAAGAAGACACAGACCTCAACCCTGCTTTAGACTTTAATCTGGCCTCTGACTATTGTTCAGATAATATCTAGATCTGACTGATTTTGACCATGACCATGATTCACACCCATTTCCTGGTCCTATTATTCAGGCCATGTCCAGTCATAACCACGAATTTAAATATGTCCCTGGCCTTGACCCTGACCTTGATCCTAACTTTAAATTGACCTTGAATTTGACACTGATATTAAATTTGACCTCGACTTTTATTCTGATTTAAACCCTCATCAACTTTCTGCTTATTGTGTAGACCACCTCTAGATCTGACTGTAAACTAAACTTGATCTTGACCTTGGTGATCTTGGCTTTGGCTTTGACCAAGAAGTAGACACTGCCCTTCAGTGTCTTGACCCTTCTCTTGACACTATCATCCAGAGCTAGTAGAGCCTTCAATGTGAAGTTTAACTGGACCTTAAGTTTGACCTTAACTTTACATATATATTCACCGTGATCTAATTCAGACCCACTTCTTGTCCTTTACTCTTGTGGAGACCCAATAGATGACTTCGGTTCCACAGCAAGCTTCAACTCAGATGAGATATTCAGCCCCAGAACTAGGATTATAATTGATAATTACCTCAGCTTCAAGTATGACTTAACCCTGATGACCACCTCAGCACTGCAGCTGGATTCAGGCAAATGTTAATTTCAGTCCTGCAACAGTATTTGTCCTTATGATGACCCTCTGGGTTTATCCCTGATGATGTCCTCAGTCCTTCAGTTGAGTTCATCACCTATAATGATCTATAGAAAAATTCATACAAGAATGTGACCTCAGTTCTGCATCAGGGATCATCCTGATGATAACCTCATCTCCACAGCTGAATTTATCTCCAATAATGATCACAGACCTGTGCATGTGTTCATCTGTGATTATTTCAATGCTAAATCTGTGTTCATTCCTAATGATGAACTCATTCATACAGAAAAATTCATCTGCAGTGATGAACTTAGACTGGCAGAAAAATGTTTTGGCAGAATGTCCTCAGCCAACAAACTAGATTCATGTCTAGTATTGATTTCAGCCTCACAGATAAATTTACCCATGATGATAACCTCTGCCCAGTAAGTGAATTTATCGCAGATGTTGACTTCATTCCTGCAGCAGCCTCCATCGCTATTTCTATTCCCACCTCTAGCTCTCACTATGGCCTTTACCCACCAAATAATATTTTAGTTTTTCTCATGCTAATTAGAGTTACATTTCTGTCAATTGCAAAGGGGTCCTGAGCAGTATAAAATGTCAGACAGGCTATTTCTGTACTAAGAGTCTACGGAGGCCTTTCCTGATAAAATTTGCCTTTGGTTCCAGAAAAAGGAGTTGGTTTCTATCAACACTGTTGGTTACTACAGGATTTAGGCACCAGTAATTACAAATGTCAAAGATGTAAGATGCAGAAATCCAACAGACATCTTGAATTTCAATAACTTAAGACACCAATGACCACTTTCTCTTTCTATAACATTCTCCCCCTTTGGTATTCAAGACATGATACTCTCCTGGTGTTTTTTTTTCTTACCTCTCCTGTGATCTCTTTTTCGCCTCTGCATTGCAGGAGCATTCTACTCTAACTGGTCATTAAATGTTGTGGGAACTCAAGCTTCAGTCCTGGGGCCACTATTCTGTATCCATTACCTATGATGAAGTCCATCTACTGAAAGTTCTATCCCCCCTTCTCTCCCCTACTCTGACATCTCTTCAGATAATATCTGGTTAACTCCTACTCACCCTTGGATCTCAGTTTCAATGTCATTTCCTGAAGAAAACAAATCTTTACTGAACTCCGTTAGCACAAGCATAGCTTGGGTCTGTGCTTAACTGTCTATGTTCAAATCCTGACTCCACCACTCACTAGCCACAAGACCTTGGAAGAGCTAAGAAACCTGACAATGCCTCAGTCACCTCAACTATACATAGAACTGATAGTAGTCTATACTGCATCAGTTATTATGAGACTATCAGAGTTTACATGTGTCAACTGCCTAGAACATGACACAGAAAGTGCCCAGTACATCTTAGCTCACCTTATTCTTCAATAATACCACATGCACATGCTTGACTTTTGCAGTACTTAGCAGAGCTAGACTTTTGATACTTGTTCTCGTGATGTTGATGGCTAAATCTCCCTCAGTAGAGCTTTGAGCCAGGGATGATGAGTGATTTCCCCTAGGTGTTTCCCCAGTATCTAGCCTGGACACTCGCACATAGTTGTGCTGAATATTCTCCGGTTGCCCCTCTAGATTCATCCCCATCCTCTCCTAGCTCTGTGCCCCAGGGAGCTGAGACCTCTATGAACCATCAAGAGGCTCCCCAGTCACTAACTTCTGGTTGGGTTTGGCCAATGGAAGACAATGACAGGAGGAAAAAAAAGGGTAGATAGAGAATGAAGTTGGGATATGTATTCTCCTGAGTTTCTCTGCAAGGTCACAAGCTGTACCTCTTTATTAGAGACCACTTCACATCACAGGCAACTCCAGAATCAACTATTTACCAGGTCAGGCGAATGACTGATGGTAACAGCCCCCACCCCATCCACTGTGCCTGACCCCAGGGTGCTTCACTTCTCCTTCATCCCCCATGCATCCGTAAACTGTCCCTTAAACTCTGCCTAATTATTCTGGTGTGACATGTCTTTCCTTCTGGGACACTGACTGATACAAGAGGTTCTATGTCAACATCTGTTGAATGAATGCATAGATGCCTATTTTACCATGCAAAGATAATAATCTACAGCCCCAACCATGGCTAAAGTAGTCACGATGAGTTAATGAGAGACAAAAAGTGACCATACTTTTTTTTTTTGAGTCAGACTCTCACAGCCACCGCAGCCTCTACCAGCTGGGCTCAGGTGATCCTTCTGCCTCAGCCTTCCAATCATACTTCTACAACAGATGATGTTCTGGAGCAGCGTGGTTTTCATGCAGGGGTGTGCGCGAGAATCACCAGGATGGCTTGTTGGGCCCACATGGCCAGCTCCACCCACGAGATGCCAACTTGTCAGGGCAGGCCTGGGACTGGGGGTTAATAATTTGCATATCTAACAAGTTTCCGGTGACATCGATGTTTTTAGGCTGGAGACCACTTTGAGAAACCGTGCTAGAGAAATAGCAGAGGCTTTTGTAATTTAAAGACCCAAGACTCATGGTTGCATTAACTATCTTTAAAGACATGAAAAGCCAAGTACTAAGTTTTATTTTACACATCTCTGATCATTGAAATATAAACAGAGGCTTTTACTAACAAGAAAGAAAAGAAAAAGAAAAGCATGACAAGATTAAATGCTAGGAGTAGATAAAGGGGTGTGCAAGCCCCATTCTGGGGAGGTTGTACACATTCTCCAGGCACAGCAGCAGAGTGGCCCACTGAGCTCGAATCCGGTGGCAGTTAAGTCACAGCTCAAGAGTCCCGAGGCTTGGGAATAGAAAGAAGCTCCCTCTGCTCTACCCCAATCTGGGGTGCCTGGGCACAGAATAGAGCAAACACATTCTGCAAAGCACACCGGGTATGCCTCTTCCTTAGCTTCTCAGGCCAGAACACCCACATGTGTGCATGCTCACACATTTATTCAGCACCTGGACACCCATATTCACAAATTCAATTGCCATGCTCCTGATCTCAGGGCTTCACCATGGGGTGATGCACCAGCTCCACAGTAAAGGCATGTGTGACCTCCTTAGCAGACTGACAAAAGGCTACTGCAGAGGCAGATGGTCAACCGTCCCAGAGACCTGACAAAAGAGAAACTACATTCTGTACCCTGTTGGTATGAGAGGAAATTCCACTGAACAACCGGAGCCAGCTGGACCCAGTTAGGGAAGACAGGATGCCAGTTCTGAGATGCCATCTAGCTCTGCTGCACTCCTCAGGAACCGGTCAGCAGGAAGCAGAGTGCCAGGAGGCCAGTCCCTAGCAGGTCCCCCAGCCCTGTGAGGTAGGGGATACAGTGGTTGTCCGGATCCAGGGCCTGGTGCCACGTCAGCCGAACCATCACTTCTGCCAGGTACAACAGGATTGTCACCTGTGGTAAAAGCACACAGACGCAAAAGAAGACCAAGTCACACAGCCAGATATAGCCAGGAAACACCAGCTGAGTTTCAAGGGCAGACACCAAGACGGACATGCTGATCCCAGCAGTCCTCCAGCTTCTTTTGGGGCCTAAGCCCAGTTCTGAGCTCATGCGGTGGCTACAGAAGTTGACCCTCACCTGCACTTTCCTAGCCTCCTCCCTGTGGCAGGTCCTGCTCCTCGCATCCTGAAGAGTCAGCAGACCTGCTGCTCCTCACCAGCTGAGCTGGGACCTTCTCTGCTGTATCAGGCTCCACTCACTGGTCTTTGCTGGAACGTTTATTTGGGTTTGCTTGAACCCTTCTCCCTCGGATCGTAAGATGGCCAGTCCTTCCTGAAAGTGCCATGGGGTGGTCCGCACAGCCCTGGTAAGGTCTCACGGCTTCTCAGTCCCCGGTTCAAGCTGACCCTAGCTCTTTCCCTCTGTCTAACTGGAGCCATAAGCTGCTGCTCAGGAAAGTTTCTCAGACTCCCCGAATCCTACCTTTCAGGGTCAGAAACACACTGCAGTTGTAAATGCCATAAACTCAGTGAGAGCAGAAGATGCTCATACCAGCAGCCTGCTCACAGAATTGTCCAGTGCCCAGAGTACTCCCTGCAGAAGTCCCAGGCCCACCAGAGACATCAGCGAGCTGGAGTCTTGGCAGGCAGCGTGCTGAATACTACCCCAACATAGGTACCAGCTCAATCTCCTTCACACCGTCCTCATGGCTGTTTAACCCCAATCAAAGTACAGGTGTGCCATGCAGCAGCACCTCCAGCAGGGGCTTGGTCCGCCCACCCGCTGTCAGTGAGGCCATGGATCACTGGACTCACTCATCGGCCTGCTCCTCAGGAACACACTGCCTCCTCAGGGCTGCTCTTTTTATCCTGACGATGAGTGTGCCGCACGTAGTATGTGGCATGTAGTGCGCAGTGTCTCGCACGCAGCACATGGTGAGGGATGGAATGTGCTGTGTGCAGAGGCACCTAGCATGAGTGTGAGGGGCCCGGTGTCTAGTATAAGTTGTGCAGCATGTAGCATGCTCTGTGTGGTATGCAGTGTGTCATATGCAGAGGCCCCTGTGTCTGGATCATGCCGCTGGATGTGAACAATGTTACTCACTCCTGGAAGATGGGGACCGCGCCCTGCATGTCCCGGAGCCCACACCGCCCACTCCACTCAGCATCTCACCCAGGACAGGGGACAAAGCTTGCTAGCTTCCTAGCCAGCTGCTCTTCTGTTGCTGCAGTCGTGCTTACCTGGATCAGGCCCGCTAGCAGATAGAGCACCACAAAGGTCTTGCTGTTTGTGACTGATTGACCTTCCACCAGGTAGATGACACAGAAGAAAATCAGATGGCCTGGAATTACCAGAATGAGCAGGACTCGAGCTGACACAGAATTTATTTCTGGAAGAAACAGAACCAAGGCCATGTGAACTGCCTGGTAAGAGAGGCCACCTTGGTATGGGATCATCTCCAGTGAGGCATCTACACTCACTCATCCATTTATTCACAAATGTATACTATGAAGCAGGTATGTTCTGGCAGATGGAATACAGTCTTGTCCCTTCCCTCATGGAGCTAATATTTTCGGGTAGAGAGATAAACAAGAACCAAGTCAGCAGAAACAAACAAACAATAAAGCCGTTTCAAACTGTGGCAAGCACTATGAAGAAAATGAAACAGGGTGGATCCGTGTGGGTGAGCTCCTGCAAACGACATTTAACCTGAGATTTGAACTTGGGGGAGAGGATTCTGGGCAGAGGACAAAGAACACACCAAGGGCTTAACGTGGAAACAAGCTTGGGAATGTTGAAGGATATTCCCACACTCCACTCAGGTGCAGTGTTAGTAATCCAGGGAGAGCAATATGCTCACGGGGGACCTCAGGTAGCCCCTTCCCCTATTAAGCCTCTGTGGCCCTGTCAGCACATTTGGGATGTGTTAGTGAGCCTCGGGTTTTCTTTAGACCCCCATGCTCTATGGGTTTGAGACTTTGCAATAAATAGGATAAACCCTGACCCAATCACAAACATTTTTCAAAAAATGTGAATGTGATTGACTTTTCAAACAGAAATAGAGTTCTAATAAAAAGCAAGTCTCTGTTTGTCTCTGAGTTAATATAACGTACTTCACCAAAATAATAAGAAAAAGGAGAAAAAATCATATATAGCTTCAAAGCTAAAAAGTCTACCATAGAATAACATACACACACAGAGAAAGAGTAAGAATGTAGAAGAGTACCAAGATTTATTCATGACAAGAAAACAGACAAGGAATAAAAATATTATTTTAAAAAATTTTAAAAGGAAGAAATAAAACTATGGGAAGCTGGTATGAAAACTCAAGAAAATCTATAGAAAAACTATGTAAACAACAAAAATTCAGTAAAATATTTGGGTGCAAAATAACATAGAAAAAATAAATAGCTTTTCTGTGTACACACGACAAGTTAGAAAACATAAAGGTGACCTTCACTTCTGAACAAGATGGAGTAGACATACTTCTTCCTATTCCTCCCACCAGGAAAAAGTAAAAGTCCCAGACATAATATATTAAACAAATATAAGAAGATTCTGAAAGATGAATAGAAAAGGCAGGTTCGCTAGGGACCTTGGGACATGATGAACTCACGATGGTCATGAGTTCCCTGAATTTTTTTTTTTTTGATTCTTTTTTTTTTTCTTGCCACATGTACCCCAGACAGAGTCCTGGAGAAGTTGGCAACCCACAAATGCCAACAGGAGTAGACCAAAAAAAAGACTCAATAAAAGTCTGCTCTTTTTAGCCAAAGGTCCAAGAAAGGAGCAGCCTAGTAGAAAGAGAACTTTTAGACAATAACAACTCTAGTCAGACACTACAGGAAAAACTGCAACCCCACCTCCATTACTAAAGGTCAAGTGGGGAACCTGGACTTTCACCCTCATCCAGGTGTCATGTGGCATTTCCCCAAGGCTGAGGTGGTACCAGAGAAGGCTGAGTGGAGAGTCAGGACTTGTATCCCTGTCAGCGGTAGTCAGGTCCCCATCTTGTCAGTGACACTATGTGGGGAGCCATGCCAAGGAAACGCTCCTTCTCCCAGGCAGGATGGTGTCAGAGGACGCCTGGTGAGGAAGCTGGACTCCCACTCTGCTCAGCAGTGACAGGGTGTTTCTCTTCCCCCAGGGTATCAGTGGAGGCTGAAATGGGGAACCCCAGGAGGTAAGGCAGTAGGAACATTTCCTTTTTCCCAGTGGTGCAGTGCAGAGGAGGCCAGCTAAAACAGACATTCAAATAAGATCCAAAATCTTGTAACATAATACCCAAAATGTCCAGATTCACTCTAAAATCACCCATCATATCAAAAGCCAAAAAAATCTCAACTTGGATGAGAAAAGAAAACCCACAGACACCAAACTGAGGTGGCACAGATGTCAGAATTACTTGAAAACAATTTTAATGAAGCCAAACAAATGAAAAACAACAAGTCTCAGTAAAGTGACAGAAGATAGAAAGAAAGGTTGGGCATAGTGGTTCATGCCTGTAATCCCAGCACTATGGGAGGTAGGAGGATTGCTTGAGCCCAGGAGTTTGGGACCAGCCTAGGCAACACAGTAAGACCTCATCTCTACACAAAATAAAAAAATTTGCCAGGTGTGGTGCTTGTAGTCCCATCTACTCGAAAGGCTAAGGCAGAACACAGGACATCAAAGTTATGGTAAGCTGTGATCATACCACTGCACTACGGCCTGGGTGACAGAGTGAGAACTTGACTCAAAAAATAAAAAAAAAAAGAAGATAGAAAGAAAAAACAAATGAAAATTTTAGGACTAAATAAATACAATAACCAAAAACACCCCCATACAACTCAATGAATAGGCTCAACAGCAGAAAGGAGAGGACAGAGGAAAAAATTAGTTAACTTGAAGAAAAATGACAGAAATTATCCAATCTAAACAAGGAGAAATTGAGTAGAGTCTTAAGGACTTATGGAACTATAGTAAGAGATCCAACATGCCAACATGCATGTAATTAGAATATCTAAAGAAAAGAAGAAAGAGTAGGGCTGAAAAATATTCAAAGAAACAGCGGTTTCAAATTTCACAAAACATATAACCTGTGTATTCAAGGGAACCCTAAATAGGATAAGCCCTAACAAATACACATCAATACATGTCATAATTCAACTCCTAACAACTAAAAACAAGGTCTTAAAATACATAAGAGAGAAGTACCACCATTCATGTACAGCAAAAAACCACTCGAGCAACAGCAGATTTCTCATCAAGTCAAGGATGTCAAAAGAAGAGGCATATTTTTCAAGCGTTGAAAACAACTATCAACCACAAATTTTATGACCAGTGAAAATACCTTTCAGGAATGTGCCAGCAGGCATACCCAAAAGATGACTAAAGTTCATCACTGAAACAAAGGAAATACAATACATTATGAGAGAAAAAAATCTGACTGCTTCCAGAGGTTCTAAGAGTCAAACCCATTTCTTCACTCGCCTCCAAGACCCTGTATGGCCACCTCCTTCCCCCCTCTGACCCTCGCATCCTTCGTCCCCTCCCCACCATTATGCTCAGGTCTCACTGGCCTTTCAGTTCTCCAAACCTGCCACGTTCCTTCCTGCCTCTTAGCCTTTGCTCAAGCTGTTTCACTGCCTTGAACATGCCTACTGCTCCAGCGCTCCTCTCCCCAACCCCTGCTTGTCCGTAAGGATGAGCTTTCCAACCCCAAGTGCATCTTCTCTAATTATTTTCCATTACATCCCTCACCTTTGCCTTTTGTAACTTACCGCAATTTATAATACAGTGCTCATTTATTTTGTGTTTACCTGCTCTTATATACTGTGTACTCCATGAGGGCAAGAAATCAGGCGTCTCTGTTTCATCACTGTCATCTGACACCTGGCAGACATTCCATAAATATTTGAATGAAGGAAGGAATAAAAGAAAGGCAGGGCTGGAGAGTCAGGTCTCTAGGGCCCTGAAGGTGATCTGTGCTAAGATCAGCACTGGCCTCAAGCATCCATTGCTACAAATACCAGATTAATACCATTGATGTTTGCTTGTTTAAAGAAGTGGCGACATGGCCTCTGGAAGATACCAGACCTACCTGAGGTACAGAAAGTGGAACATGGGTTGGGCCAGAATTTTCTCATCCATTGGGGAAGGACCCCAGGCGTGCTCCAGGTGTGCAGGTAGGTGGAGATCCGGCTAGTCTGGATGGCTACCAGATTGCCACCAACACCTGTGAGGAGAAAACGAATCTGGTTTCTCCTTCTTTGAGTTATGCCCCTTATTTTAAGTTCACTTCCTCTAGGAAGCCTTCCTTGATCAATTCAGAACTTGGTATCTTTTCCTTTCCTTCCACTTGACCACAGATCTTGTATGGCACCGAGTCAGGGTGGCCCAGACCTTACAAGTGAGGTATCGAGGGAGTAACTGCATCACCTTGACAGACGGCATCTCTAAAGGTAAGGGGAGTGTGACTGGCAAAGTAGTTTCTCACTTTAAGGAGTTCTCAATGTCTGTTGTTCCCATTTTTATGTCTATGTGAACCCCAGTTCTGAGTTCAGTCAGCAGGTGCCAACAAAGCCTGGGTTAGATTCCATGTACCTTCAAGGCGTGGTGTTTGGTTCTGTTTGGAGGGCTCACGTCTCAGTGATGCCCCCTGAGAAACTGGGTCTGGGATGCTGAGAGCAGGGCTTCCTCCCTGGGTCTCCTTTCCTTCTGAGAAACACAAGCTCCAGCAGCCCCTGCTGGGCAGCAGTCCGTTCACAGCTTGGCTGCCCAACTGCCTCTGTGGGCCTGGGCCAGGCCTCTGAAGTCTGCGGTTCAGGTCCAACCCAGTCCTGGCAGGCCAACCCAGCCCAGGGACCCATGGGAACCCCTCAGATACCCACCACATATGACAGGGGTGAACACGGCCATGCCTTGGTATTGCTGTTTAGAACTGGTTTTGCTCAGGATGAGCCCTCCAAAACTGGGGAGAGAGCAGACGGCAGTCAAGGGATCAGAGAAAGCACACTTGGAGTGGCCTTGCAGAGTGCCACCCAAACTGCCTCATTAGCCTGGCTTCCCAGCCTTGGCACTTTGCTCTCTCCTACACAAAACATTTGCGGCAGCTAAGCTGGTCTCTCCCCACTGTCCCGTGCCTCCTGCTCATGCATTTCCATCTCCATCTCCATCTCCATTCTGAGTCTCAACTGCTCCAGAAGGCCGCCGGAGAATGTCAACCCATCACAAAACCAACAAGCGAATGCCTTTCCAAGGCCACACAGCTGGCTGGGCTCTGTCCCACAGAAGCTACTGAACTGTGACTGAGATGCTCTTTAGTGGGAAACAGGGCCTGCATGAGTCTCATCACATTCCCACCCCTTGCTCTCAGAAAACATCACAGCAAGATCTTGCTCCCATGGGCCACGATAGTTTAGCCAAGGCTTTCCTACCCCTTGGAACTTTTTAGAGCCCTGGAGAAGTTAGGCCAATGTGTATAAGGAGCTCAGCAGCCCTCTAAAAGCAAAGATGCCAAGTCAAAGCTAGGAAAACATGTCAGAATGCACTGGGGTGGCCCCCATCAAAGTCTGCTAGCAGGAAAGGGGACTCAAGGGCTGGGCAGAGGGTGGAAGACCTGGGCACACCTGAAGGCTCTAAGGATTCTGAGGGGAACTCATCTCACAGCCCTCTAGGTCCCACCAGCAGCCATGTTGGGGACAAGGGCCCAGTGTAGGAGGGCCGGCCTGAAAGCCAGCGTCCCACTGCACCATGCTAGGCAGGGAAGCTCCAGCGCACTCATCGAATGCTCCTAGCTTTGGCTCTCCCTGGCTCCTTGGTACTCTGGCAACTGCCAACAGGGGAGCCTCTCTTAGACTGAATAGGGCCCAGAGTTCTTGGTGAAACGAGAGACGAAAGCAAAAAGAAGCTGACGAAACCTGCACTGGGAGTCACTGAAGGAGTCTGTGGCTACAATCCACCCCCAGCCCCGACCCCAAGGCACTGAGCGTCATTGCCATTCCTGGGGGCTTCACGGCTCCCAGGGAGAGAAGCCCTTGTTACCGCCCACCTGCTGATGACCATGGCTAGGATGATTGGGAACCAGCCGAACTTCAGGATCTTCGTGATGGGTGGACTCTGTTTGGCAATGAGGACCCACAGTGGGGTCAGAGCCATGAAGCCAATGCAGACCAGCGTTGTCAGATATGGACTGTCTGAAAAGACAAAGGGGGCATGTGCAGCTTGCATGACCAAGGCTAACGTAGGGACAGGGACTAGGCTTCCCAGGTAGGGGAGGGGACTGGGAATTAAGGACACCAGAAGTCTGAGGATATTCCTGTCTTCATCGGTTCAGGGTGGACTACCCTGCTATACTTTCCAAAGAACACTCACCATCCCATCAAGCAACTAGAAAGACTTCCCTCTATCTTGAATTCCTGCCATATCCACCACCACATCTCAGATGTTGGTGTGATTTCCCCCACATAAAGTACCCTGCTAGTATCAGTATCTTCCCACCCCAACATTACTGTAGTCAGTAGTACTACGTATGGGACGCACCATGAGCCAGCACCACGTTCAGCACTTCACGTGCAAGATCTTACTTCATGTTCCCAACAGCCTTGCTCAGACAGGTGCCAGAAGGAGACAGACGTGCCAAGGTGCATGCCCAGGACAGGCAGTCAGCAAGCAGCCAAGTCAGGGCTACGGCCTGGGTCTCTGGAAAGCCAGAGCCGGCCACTGGATGCCAACCATGGTCCTGGCTGAATCCAATCCAAGGCTACCACCACAGTGACCACATCTTTCATAGGGCAGAGTCCACAGTCAGCCTGGCAGCTCGGGTCCCCATCTCATCTTCTCCAGCTGGTGGGAGGACATGAAGAAGCACTGGAATCTGAGGCAGTCGATTGCTACCTGGGGCCAGGCCAGAGCTGACATACCAGGGCACCCCTGGCATTCCTTCCCTTCCTGTCTCACGTTCCATGTGTGTGTGTTACCTCCCACCAGCAAATAGAACAAGACACCAACTTTTTCTAGAACAATCCTCGCCACCCCACCCTCCCGAGGGTAGGCTCAGGGGTCAGGGGAGTTGCACACCACTACTGCTGAGGGGACCCTGATGCTCAGGATGCCCAGGCATGGGTCTGTGTCCCATACCCTCCCTTTCTGGTTGGCGTCTTCAGGAGTACCCCCTCTTTCCTTCTCTGCACTAAAGGGTCATGGTCTGTTCTTCTGCCATAAGGTGCCTGAGGCTGGCTATAGGCAAGATACCCCGTGGTGTGAGTGACCAGACCCTGCCCTGTCCCAGGAGATAGAGCCATGTTCAGCAAGCTCTAAACAGGTCTCTGAAGCTCAGGAAAACAGCAGACTGCAGAAGCATCTCCACACAGGACAATTTTGAGTACAGTCCAGGTTTTCCACAGGTACTTACTTACAAGCCTCTACAGGTCCTGCTTCACAGTCTCCCCAGCATGGCAATACACACTCCCCCCTTGAGTCTATGCTCCCAGGTGGCCATCTTCAAGCTTTGAGCTTCAATTAACTGTATACCTAATCACAATGAACTGTATATTTAAACATATTTTCTGAATCTTAAGGTAGACATTTTTTGCAAACCAGATGGGATCCAAAGCAGACTGCCAATGATCTCTGTCACTTCACCAACAGTCAGAGCCCTGGTACCAGCAGGAATGAATTTCACTCTTCTGACCTCAACAGAGCCAGTGGCGATCTCTGGTAAGGCCCTTCTTGGTCCCAGTCTTCATGGGCTTAGTTGGGGATTCAGACTTTATTTGAGATACACACATTTCTAATTCAATGGGCATTAGAATTGAAGCTCTACTGTAAGGTGGGAGCTTCATTTGTTATTACCTAGAGATTCTCCTGACTGCAGATGTGTGGTTTTCACCTTTCTCTGAGGTTAAGGTTTTGTCTTACTCAAAGTTTGTAATCTGTTCTCTGATTCAAAAATTTGGTCAAGGAGAAAACAGTATTGCTATAGGCCAAAAGCAAGGGTTGCTTGTTTATGACAAGAGTAGTTTTTAATAGAATAATAAAACTAATTTGCTTTCCTTATTCTACAATGATTAATCAAGCTAAATAGTAAGGCTGCTTAGATTTAAAAGCACACATTTTTCCCCTCTCATCACCTTGCATTGCCTGCAGGAGTTATACCCCTCCTCCATTCCTTTGCTTAAGATCTCTAAACTGGCTTGTAGGCCAATCTTACCTAATAAAACTGCTGGTAACTGAAGCCCAGCATCAGATCAGCAGATATTTGGAGCACAGAGGAACTGAGTGAACTCTGAAGAAGCAGGTGGAATTTAGATAAGAGTCTTCAAACTCCTTTGAAGTGGATTGTCCAGGACTCTGCTGAAATCTTTAGATTCTTAGGAGTGTACACCTTCTGAATGTACACCCCCTCTCCCAAGTACTTTAAAGGTTTAAACTTTAATCATTAGTCAGGTATAGTATGTTACACACTTATTGCTCTGTGTGTAATAAATCTTGAATTACAAGAAGTGCAGTATACAAGAATTATTAGTAGAGACTGTAACATCAAGAAAGTGAGATTAGTGAAAAAACCAGCCTGCTGTTTCAGATATTATCTGAACACTAATATGAGTTAATAGTCATAGGAAAAGAAAGATCACCCAAAACACTGAGTAATGATCTTGCTATACATAAGTCCTGTTAATTAAGGTAGATAAGAATGAATGTTTGATAGTACAGTGGCTCAAGCCTGTAATCCCAGCACTTTGGGAGGCCAAGGTGAGGGGACTGCCTGAGCCCACAGGTTCCAAAACAGCCTGGGCAAGACCTCATTTCTAAAATAAATTTTAAAAATTAGCTGGGTGTGGTAGCGCACGCCTGTAGTTCCAGCTACTTGGAAGGCTGAGGCGGAAAAGATCGCCTGAGACCAGCAGGTCGACTCTAGGGTGACTGTGAGTGCACCACTGCACTCTAGCCTGGGCAATGGAGTGAGACTTCAACTCAAAAAAAAAAAGAATGTTTGATTATAAATATTGGAAGGAAAGTGTATCTCTTTGAACAAGTTCCAGCTATGATGTGGGCTTATTCCCTGTTACCCTGGGTACAAAATAAACCCATTTTCTCCCAGCCCTCCACCTCTCAATACTAATTAACGTGAGAGAGAGCAGCTAGTCTAGTTCTACCAGAACAGTTTCCTTCTAAAAATAGAAAGTGAAATCTTTGTGGTTTAAATGAAAAATCTGTAATCTTTAAAACTGGCCAGATTCTGAAGTTCAGTTTAATTGACAAATCTAAACTTAAAATTCTTCCCACTGGATCTTTTTTGGTCATTCAAAAGGAAAGTCTAAATTATAGGCAATCTTACTTCTACAACTAAGTCTTCTTTCTTAAGGTGAGATTCACCACTAGAAAACACCAGCTAGATTCATGTTTAACACTCACAGTGCCTTTTTACGCAAATATTTGGGAAAATGGGTCTCATATAACTCATGACGATCCCACAATGGTCAAAATGTGGTACCTTTGAAATACCTAGTTCATCTATACTATATATTAGAAAAGGTGCTGGGCACGGAGACTCACACCTGTAACCCCAGCACTTTGGGAGGTGGAGATGAGAGGATTGCCTGAGCCCAGGGGTTCGAGACCAACCTGGGAAAATTGACAAGACTTTGTTTCTACAATAAATAAAAAAAATTAGCTGGGCATGGTGGCACACACCTGTAGTTCCAGTTACTTGGAAGGCTGACGTGGAAAGATCATCTAAGGCTAACAGGTCAAGGCTGCAGTAGCCATGAGTGTGCCACTATACTCCAGTCTAGGCGACAAAATGAAACACCTATTCAAAATAATAATAATAAAATAAAATAGAAAGGGAGAGCTATCTTTTTCAGTGGTCCTTCTAAAAGAGGTTCCATTTTTTAGAAGCTTCTAAAAGAAGTTCTGATAAAGTCATTTCTTTAGAGGAGGAACACAGGAAATAAACTGTCTAAAACAATTTCTGAGTTTCAAAATGCTACTGAAATTTCTTTCTTCTTCCCTCAGCTCCTCCTTCTATTCATCTTTCATTAATTGAACTGGCTTGCCCAGATTTATCTCTTCTCTCTCCTTCTCCTCCTGCTTCTGCTGTTCTGGTTCTGTTTCTTGAACAAGTGGAACTTAAAGGCATAATTAAAGAATTTCCTGATCCTCACCAAGACCCTATTGGATTTGTGGAGAATTCAAATAAAACATTTGAATCAAATGTAAAACATTTGAATCAAATAAAACTTATGATACCAGGTTCTATGATTAATATCAAATGGTTCATGTGTTGGCATCAGAAAGTAAAGCTAAAGAATGGCTAGAAAAGAAGAATTAGAAAAACCCCTTGAAATACTTGCAAAAGTCAAATCCTTGACTGGGCTACTTCTCAAACTCATGATTTGGTTAATCTTGCCAATCAGATGTCTTGTACTTTAAATTTTCAGAGGTTCATTGTGGGCATGTCCATGAGGTTGCAAAAGCTGTACCTGAAACCAAAAAGTAGTCAGCTAGAATCAGGCTGGGTACATTGGTTCACGCCTGCAATCCTAGTGCTTTGGGAGCTGGGGGTGAGAGGACTGCCTGAGCCCAGGGATTCAAGAGCAGCCTGGGAAACATGGCAAGACCTTGTCTCTACAATAAATCAAGAAAACTTAGCTGGGCATGGTGGCGCACACACGTAGTTCCAGCTACTTGGAAGGCTGAGAAAGAAGGATCACCTGAGCCCAGTAGGTTGAGGCTGCAGTGGTCATGAGCATGCCATTGCATTCCAGCCTGGGAAATGGAGTGCAATTCCAATCCCCCCCCCCAAAAATAGTCAACTAGAATCAAATACAACAATGTCACAAAGTGATACTCTACACTCTTCTCAACTCCAATTTCATAAATGGGTTAGATGAGGAATTAGTGCTAGTAGCAAAAAGACAATGCCTTAGCTGGGCTCCTTCTCAAATTCATGATTTGGTTGATCTTATTGATCAGCTGTCTTACACTTTGACTAAAGAAAAGAGAGTAAGGAAAGCCAAACAAAAGACTAAGTCTAATGAGATTGTGAATTTACAATTAACAACTATCTACCCAATCTGGACCACCAAAATATCCCTAGGGAGCCTCAAAATCAACCTAACCTTTCATTTACTAACCTTGCAATTACTGCAGAAAGCCTAGACATTCCAAAAGTATTGTAGATTATACTTGT